GCAAAAGCCATGCAATTATTTTTTCTGCTTTTGGAGCTGTTTGTAAAATGAACAGTGCTCACTCAGAAATGAACCAGTCAGCTCATTCTTGAGTCATTGAAGAGAAATGTTTTATCTATTCAATTCGTCTACGAAATGTCTGCTGTCACTTCGTGAAAAAATCGAAACACTGATACTACCATTTTGTTCTTTTTCCGCTGCCAATTATTAACTAAACATTTTTATCACTTCGAGTGGATGGGGATGAAATGAATAATGTCCCCACTGATAGAGGACATCTAATCGAGCCAAGAACGACCTGAAATCTTTTTTCTGTCGCTTTGGACATGGATTCAGGTGATCTTGGAACCCTGGTCGTACCCCAACCTGCAGTGTAGGGTAGGGTATGACAGGGTAAGGGTGCATCTCTATGCCAGATTAATAATTGTGTTAGAAAATTGGGCATTTCAGCTGTAATGCAATAATCTTGTATAGAAGTCCGAATTCCGCGAGATTCGACTAGTTACCAACTGTTCGAGAGGGAGAGCAGTCCGTCAAAATTTTGAAGAAAGCAGCAATCGCACACATCTCATGTTCGTTTTGATGATGAACAAGAACAAAAAATATTAGCGTTAACCATCATCTTCTATATACCATTTTGTAGAGAATTAAATGATGAATCTTTTGCAAAAAACAGCTGAACTTTTGAATCTGAGGATCTCGGGGAAACTTCAAAATACTGAGAGATCGATTTCGTCTCCCCATCCGTTACGTAGCTCGACACAATTTTGTATATTGATACCGAATACACTTCCATTTTAACTAAAAGGTCTATTAAGAATATAATAATAAAAACAGTTATTTTTGCGTTTTTCGTGCGTTTTACACAATGGCTTTTTATTCTTAGAAAGAACCTTCTCATTTGTTTTATTCAAAATACGCTACGTAGATAAAGGGTAAAACTTTATGTATTTAATTGATCTTCAGTTTGGTTGGAATTAGCAATAGTCATGAGAATGTAAAGTTTTGTGACAGGAATTTTGCGGCATTTGACTCTCCGGCGTTTGGTACTAAGAGAATTCTAATGCGCAACGACGTTTTTCTAAAACCTTGATCAAACTCGTATAAAATGCAAAACTGCTACTACGCTTTCAACCAGGGCTGAGAGAGTCCGGACTGATGGTTTTTTCGAAAGACTCGGACCTGAGTTCTGGTGTTTCGAGTCCGATCAGTTCAAGTTCTTACGCAAATCAACAGGAAATTTTCCAGTTTTTCAATACCAGTATGGGATATATAACAGAAGTTTACTTATGCAACTTTTTCTGTTATAATAAGATTGATGTGTTGTACGGCAAAGGAGAAAATAAATATAAATAACAACAGCCAAAAGGATTTGAAATAATTACTGGACTCACTTTTTTTGCTTTATAACTTGGTATCCCTCAAACTCTCCCAACCCTGCTTTCAATAGCGTTTTCTCAAATTTTGTGCGTGATATTTATATATAACCGATTTCATTGCATATAGTTCATTATTTTAAATAAATCTAATGAAAAAATTTCCAAAGTTATAAGAATACTACAACCATCAAAAAATGAATAAACAAATTTGACAAAACTAAATAGTGGCGTTAGTCAGACAGTATACTAATTAAAGAAATCGAATTTGTTATAGAAAAATCTATGACCTTACCCATCCTCCTCCTTTGTAAGTTATGCGAAAATAGACGGCAGTCAACATTTGTTTGAAAGTATTGATGCCATTTTCTTACTCATAAGAAAATGAAATATAAGACGGAAAAGAATAGATAAAATGGTTATGGTCATCACATTCAACATTTTGAACTCCGAAACATCAAACATTGTACATTATACGTCTACTTCACTAGCTTACGAATTTTCTTTATACCAATCTAACAGACATCAATGTCTCAAGAAGATAATTTTGTACCATCAAATGATAATGATTCCACTTTAAGTGACATTTCTCTCGATAATTATTTTCAAAACCAACGACAACAGATCGTCAAAAGAAATAAATGGACGAAACCGTATCAGAGATTAATATCCGAGTACACTAATCCAACTTTAAGAGATGATATTATTATTAAAGATGTACCACTGACATTGAAAGAACAATTTATAAATTATAAAAATTATATATGGAACAATGATGATCGTTTATTTTGTCAACGAGATGGTTTAGGATGGAGTAAACTCGCATGCTACTATTTCATTTATTATCTTGTTTTAGCTATTCTATTTTCGTCATGTGTCATATTCTTTTTTATGCTTATGGATAAAAAAATTCCACCAAAACGTCTTGAATCAAGTGCATTGGCTCTAGATGGTTTAAATCCAGGTAAATTTTAAAATAGCTATTAGACAATAGAAACAATGATTAATTCTTCATCTGAAACTACTATGTTTAACTATTGAACGATTCGTTTTATCTCTCTACACAACAGGTCATTATATTTTAAATTTCAGGACTCGGCTTTCGTCCACAGTTACGTATGGATAAAACACTTATTGCTTATCGTACTTCAAGAAAAACGGGGAAAAATAGTGTCGCTGAATATAGGTAGATTGGAACAAAAACATGAAAGATCTGATTTCTCTTCTTTTTTCTCTATGTTATAATAGTGATAATATGCATGAATTTGTAAAAACTTATGGTCTAAAAGATCAATATTTTCAACAAATGATCGATTGTACATTATTACCACCTAATATATTAATCAATTATTTTCGTCAAGGTCTATCATGTATTTTTTTAACAACAGGTAAAATGCCTTCTTCATTGTTCATTTGAATAGCTGCTCCTATTTTTTATACTAGATCTTAAACCTGGTCCTTCACCATGTCATCGATCAAAAAATTATGGCTATAATAAAGGTCGCCCCTGTGTAGTATTAAAATTAAATCGAATATATGGTTGGATACCTGAACCTTATCAAAATATTCAAGAAGTACCACATGAATTAAAAGATGTTTGGAAACCAAACATGAAACGTTACGTTCTTATTAGATGTTATGGTCAATATCCTGCTGATCGAGATTTTATTCAGCAAATTGACTATTATTCAGTATTAAATGACAAGAAAATTGGTGGATTACCAATTTATTATTTTCCTTATCTAAATCAACCAGGCTATCGTTCACCCTATATACAGGTACAATTTTCTAAAATTGAAACAAACGTTCTCATTAATGTACTCTGTAAAGCATACGCGAAAAACATTCATCATAAACACAGTATGGAATATCTTCATGGTTCGGTTCATTTTGAATTATTTCTTGAATATTCAAAATAGTTGTAAAAAATTTATAAAATAAATTTGATCAATCGTAACGCTAGAATTATCATTTAAATAAACATCTCCGTTGTAAATGAGGGGCAAAAAGTATTACATTGTTTCTCAGACCCATACGATCTATTTCAAGTTCTTTTCCCAAATAGTACTATTAAATGATGAAAATATGTGGTATGACGTTCTTATTATCAAAAAAATTATGTTTGTATGTGTAATAAGAAACGTAAGAATCTAAATTATTCTCCAATGGTGAATCGAGGAATTCTTTCAGCAGAGGAAGCCGGATTATTAGAACAACAGTCATCTGAGGCAATTTAGAAAAAAAAATGTTACGGTGGTTTTTGCTCATCACTTTATTGAAGTAAAGAGGAAAGGGAATGATGCAAGATAGAGACATTTTAACGAGAGAGCAGCTCTAGCGAAAAATGAAGATTATTATTCTCTCTACATCCGTCACTGTTTCTGGAGTTGCCTACTGTAATCACTGATATCCATGGGGTAAGAATATATCTAGTCAAATTTTAGTATTCAAAATATCCGAGCTCTACAAGAGTTGAAACCAGTTGAAAAAAATCCACTCCAACCGAATCCATCGATTAACCGACCGCTTAGGAAATTTGTAAACCGTCCAGCCAGAAAAGAGTAAAAAAGAAAATCTAGCTTATCAATTAGCGCAAGCGCCCGCTTAAGTGTAGATTTTTTGGGTCAAATAGCTAACTGCGCCGAACAAGTGTCCACTTGCTAGTTTGAACCGGACGATCCAGTGGGCGCTTAACTGAACGTTTAGCGTTTTTTTTGTTCCAACCTGAAAAGCTTCATCAGCGCCCCACTGTTAAAAAAAGTTATCTTTTTATTGGATCCTGACCAAGATAATTAACTTTTAAAACCGAAGAGTTGCAAATTATTGAAGTTTTTTGAAAACGTTTTGCATAGATTTAGCCGTACAAAGGTTTTTAAATGTAGTGGTCGATTACTATTACTATAAGGATCCTTTCTATGATTATACAGAAAACGAAATTTTCTGTCAGATTGCTTTGAAGTACCGTGTCCAGTAATGAAATGTCCACACCTTTGGACGTTAGGGGGGAGTGACATAGAAAGGACTAATTTTTAAACATATACACATCCTTCTTTCGCTTCTTTTCTAGTAAGATGGAGAATTTTATTTTCGTTGTTTTGCCACAGTTGGATAAAGCAAACCGCTTGCATAGAAAAAACTGAATTCAACAATTTTGGAACACATTTTTCAGTTAAAAAAGTTTAAATATCGATTTTTCAAAAATATGTGAAAATAGGCAAAATTTTGAATAAAACTTAAAATTCAACCATTCATTCTGTTTTCAAAATTCCCAAACAATTTTTTCTTACTCTTCATCAAAAACTGAGCTTAAAAAACGGATTTTGGAAATTTTACAACTCAAATTGACTTCGAGAGCCGTTGGAGACGAGCAGGATGATAAAAGACCCACTAGCCAATCTTGCAAACCTGTCTAGTCCTAGGATTTGGAAGATAAAATTTTCTTACACACTTCATTCTAACTGATATACTTATGAGAGAAAAAATGATGCATCAATAATGAAAAATTTTACTTTATTGTTGAAAAATTCAATTTGTATAAATTCAGTGAAAATCTCTTTGAAACTGGGCCTGTACTTTGCCATTTTCTTGGTCAAAAGCAAACATTTTGACAAAAGCAAGAGCATATTCGAGATCAGGAGCAAAAACTGGGTCGAGTGACCTTAAAGATTTTCTTTTTTTCAAATACCCAAAACCAAAATTTTCACTCAAACTCCGAATATTCCCAGAACTCTGAGACTCATGTCATTTAACCCAGTTTTTGATTCTGATTCCGAATATGACCTTGTTTTTGTTAAAATGTTGAATTTTGACAGAACAAGTTCGGACAACAAAGAGAAAAAAATTGCGTTTTTCATGTTATTCACCTCTAATGGCCACGCCTATGGACATTCTGTATTCTGTCAGTGTGGAGACATATCCCGATGTGGAGATCCTTTTTTACAGCAAAAGTTTTTTGATATCCTGAACGGTATATAGTTTAAAATTATATCCTGATCAGGACATAATTCGATATCCCGATTGAGATATAAGAATAATCTATATCCTGATCAGGATATAAAAGCATTTTTGTTGGTTAGTGTAATTTCTAAGTTTCACATTAATATGTTTCTCATCAAATCTAATTAGTTTGAAAGGGGTATTGCCCTAACAGACATTAGGAGTATAAATGAGTTTTAAGCAAGGTGTAGTTCACTTACAAAAATATGAGGCAGTTTATCTGCACGAATCAATAGTTGGAAAATTCCCGATTAAACACAAAGCACGTGTACTTATATATTGTCATGAGAGAAATATGTGTTTCAATATATGCGTTTATCGAAAAGGAAGAAATAGATAAAGACGGTGGTGTGGAAAGCGATTAGATCAAGAGTATTTCGATTCTGAGCAATAACAGGTTAACCGTCCATTTCCTGATCGGGATATAAATTCGGCTAAAATTTGTTAAAACTTTGTATTCAAAAAAATAGTTGCTGGGTGCTTGATGCACTTTTGATCAAACACAACAGAATCCGATGTAGTTTTTCGAGCTCTTTCTAATGGTGATGTCAATTTTCCCCCAAAACGCAGTAATTTTCCTCTTAATCGTTTTTACGACGAAATTTTGTGTTTTATATCCCAATCAGAATATTAATTTTTTTCTATATCCCAATCAGGATATAGGAGGTGTTCCTTCACTGTCTGTCACCTAGGCAACTTCGTTTTATTTTAAGTATGGAATAGGCATAGTGAGCACTCAAGAGGTCCACTGTAGTAGTCGTCTTTCCTGGATCTTCAAAAAAATCCCCTTCGGGGGTAAAAAGGGTTAAATCAGCTTTGACACCCTAAAAATTGGGTATGGTAGCTGCAAGCGCCCACTTCACGATTTTATTTTTCTGTGTTTGTGGAAAAAAACCGACGAAAAAAATGAATAAAAATTGAATATGTTTTGTAGAGCTATTAGCCGCACTGTGCGACGGGCCACGTTGATCCTCTTCGGCGCGTAGAACCCATTCTACACTGAGGGATTTTCTGATATTTTTAAAACTTTTTGGATTTTTCTGTTATTTTTTTAAAAGAATGATTTCCTTAAAAGTCGATTCTAATCATTCTCCTTCAGCGTTATTTATGGGGAAAAAACAATTTTTTTTAAGCTGAACCGGTAAAAAGCTGGGTCAGTCGATCAATTGGGTTTTGGTTTATTTGTCCGGTTCTCTGAGCTCTACCAATCTTTTATGGCACCAGTTTATTCTGCTCTGACCGAAACTGATGCTGGAACTGATCGAATTGAGCAGAAAAGTATCAGACTTGGCAAACATTACCGTTACTTTTTCCTGTAACATTCACTAAGTCTGATGCTCTTCTGCTCAATTCGATCAGTTCCAGCATCAGTTTCGATCCGAGCAGAATAGACTGATTGCCATAAAAGATTGGTGGAGCTCTGATGTTTTGAATATAGAAAATAGCAGGTCTCACCTCTCTTCGTTTTCGATCCATCTTTTATAAAACCATTAGCAGCCAAAAGATCAGACCGTTTGAATAGTAACTGTCAAAATAGTATACAGGTTGCGACACCGACAGTATCGAAAGAATATGTAGCTTCTTCTTTTTTCTACCGTGCTGCTGTTGACTAGAATTCCCTACTACATACTGTTGTATCTTGTCAAACAATTACTACTTTCAAAATTCTACTTTCAATTCTACTTTCTTCTGCTCACCTATACATATAAGTGTGGTGTTTTTTGTTGTTGTTTTTTCTTCTATACTCTCGTCTCGCGGTTGTTCTCTTTTCCGCGCGGTGGCACTGTATTTACAAGCTTTTGGTTTTTTTGTGCTTTCCTTTGTTACGAGATGTTTTCTTGGCCATAAAATAAACTTTCAAGTTCAAGTTCAGAGTTTCATACATTCCTATTCGAGAGTACTGTTATGCGAGATCAGAATTTGTTTGGTTGTTTTGGAATAGAAACTAATTTTTTACTTACTATTGTATAAAAAAAATTGAATTTTGGTAGAAAAATAGAAGAAAAAATAAAATTATCTGATTCTAACCCTAGACAATCTAATGACAAGTGCCAATAGAGAGAAAATGATTATGTTAAATGTTATTGTCGCTAAAACTGTTATTGTCACTATCGGTTTTTAGATTTTTTGTTTCTAATGTCAACTATTTACTTTCGCTTTGATTTTTTCTGTTTTTATATATTCTCTTTAACTATGGTATTTTCTTGTCGAATTTTTCTTTTTTTTTTAAAGAATACAATTTTTTTCAAAACATTAGTTTATCCTGCATTTCAATTCTATAGAGCTCTAGCTTAGAGTTACATTACTAAAACGTATTTTGGGTGTTTTTGAAGTGTTTTAATAATACGATATTGTTAAGTTTCAAATTTGACAAACGAAAACAGAATATACTCTTTGATTGTATACATTAAAAGAGTATACAATATTTTAATCAATCTTATTTGAAAACTACGTCATGTATTAATAATTAGACTATATCTATATACATATATTAAAGTATTTTGTTCAAATGATGTTTACTGAAGCTTAAATTTATGTCAACTGGCAGTTCATGAAAATTAATTTTTTTTTTTCTTTTGTGTTTTTATCCACATTGAGGTTTCTTTTATTCATTGGAAGAATTTTTGGTTTTTCGATTCACAACATGTTGCCAATGTTTTTCTTTTTTTCCTTTCTTTAGTTTGAACCAGAAATGAATCGTTTAAAGTGTCACATTAATGTCTGCATGTGTATATGTGAACGTAAAAAAAAAAAAGAGCTAAAATTTTTGAAAAAAGGTACTTATGTAAATAGATGTATATCCTAGAATTGAACAAAACCTTAAAAATGTGTTCACTGTATCCATTCAGTGTATAATTTAACTGTCAACATTTTGATTATTACTTGACAAAAATTTGAGTGTAAGATGAACGAAATACGAAAATTATGCAGTGTTATAACAAGTCAATCGTTAACGTTAACCAATGATGATTATATTCAACATTTAGATTTAATATGGTCATTATTCAATTCAGTTGATCCATTACATATTCTTCCATCATTAGCATTAATTGGACAATCAATATCCTATTTATCTCTTCAACAAATAGATTCAATAATTAAACATCAAATATTTATATGTTTAAGACAATGGTGTGAACGTTTATTAAATATTTGGTTAATTAATGGAACATTTAATGCGGATGAACAACGTGCTCTATTTTATACTTATCAAGTATTTAAATTATTAACAGAATGGTTACAATCAAAAAATGATTCACATTTATCTTTTAATCAAAATGAAATTGAAAATATTAATGAATTATTTTTTAATGATAGTTTTTTATTAACATTAAGTAGAATAATTAATCAATTATGTACAATAAATAGTGAAGAAATAATAACTGAACAAGTAGAAAATGATAAAGTACAAGAACAACTTGTCATTAAATTATATGAAAATAGTCGACCTATTACGGATGATGACGAACATAGTGATGGTATAAGTGCATTATCGGTAATTATTGACTTTTTCTATCTACTGGTTGATCGAGGGAAAATAGCGGTCTCGTATTTCGTTAATATCTCAATGCTTACACTTGAAATTTTGTTCCAAAAGATTCACCATTCAATTCTCTACAAGAACGTACAAGGAAGTTTGATCTCAAAATTAAATATGAAAAATTGAATTAATAATACTGTGAAACTTTCTAACGCACTTTTCTATCAGAAAAGAAACATTTATTATGCGCTGCACATTGTGGCGCGAGAAATGTTTTTATTACAACTAAAAGATCGAGTTTTTGAAGCGCTACAATGATGGCTAAGTTCATTTTCTTAATGTCTCAAAGTGCGAACAAATAAAACCAAGAAAATCTATTTTTTTCCTAGAGAGTTTAGAAAGTTGGACATGTTGAAGTCTCACAGTATTATTAGTTCAATTTTACATATTTAAATTTGAGATCATACAACCTTGTACGAGATCTTGTAGAGAATTGAATGGAGAATCTTTTGAACCAAAATTTCAAATGTAAGCAATGAGATATTAACGAAAGACTGAGATCGCCATTTTCCCTGGACCAATCGGTAGATAGAACACAATGAGACTATATTATTATTGTTGTTGTTCTTGTTTTTTTAATTCAGGATGATATTGATCGAAAAGACACACCATCCGTCTCACTTTCAGCTGATGATATTGAACTAAAAAGTATTGATGAAAAACGTTCAAAAGCAAATCCATCCATGTCATTATCAACAGACGATATTAGTAATCAACGAGCAATAAATGGTGATGATACGTCAGATCTTTTATTTCGTGGTGCAACTATTTTTGTTACATTGTATACACATTTATTACAAAATATCTCATTTGATGATACAAATAATAATAATTTATATTTAATAACTGAAGCTATTATGAATTGTTTAACA